AATATAACAATGCCTTACAAAAAAAAAATATAAAATAAATATCTATAACGGTATTATCGTTCGTGTAGTGGTGGCAATAAATATTTGAAGTAATAAAAAACAACGAAAAAATGTTATGTCGTCCACTAGTTCATGTTTCTTGTAACTTACCATTATTGTAGTTCGAATACTTGTGATATAACTTGAAATTTATGAGACTTAATATTATCGTCACGAAACAGGGTTTTTTTATTTTCTAAAATAAAATACTCAATACAATTCGCTGATTACTCTTCGGTTCTTTTCGTGTGTATATGCATATACACATATAACTTATAAAATGTGAGGAGAAAAATATAAAAATTTAAAAATTACCACCAAAAACATTAGTTCTGATACTGTCTGTATGAACTCCGAACAATTTCAATAGACTTTGTTGATGTAGAAAAATAAAAAAATAAAAAAAACTGGAGAAGATAAATTAAAACTATTGTTAAATGCGGTGTAAAAATAATAAGATATAATAATAATAATAAAGTAACAAACACGGACCAAAGTATTCTGAATCATAAAAAACGGATTTTCTATTCATCACAAAATTGTATCAAAACTATTAAAAAGTATTTTGATAATAATTAGTAAGATGTTTATTTCTTTTATAAATGCAACGTTATGAAAAATCAATAATTTATATAATAAAATGCTTTAATTTAATAGCTGTGTGTCTTATATCACCTGAATTAAGGAAAAAATGTTTTCATAAATACGTACTGGCTATCACTAGAGGATCCAGGATTTAATTTTGGGAGGTGCTTCAGCCCGAAAGATTTTTTTTCATATACATATAACCATAAATAATTTTTAAAAAAATAGAAAGAAATGAACTACCTATATGAAATGGTGTTTACGTGATTCTTGAAGTCCTATTAAATGTAATTACTCGAACAACAATACTTTAAGAGATAGATTTTAATATTTTTTTTCTATAAAACATGGTTATATTTTATCGTTTTTTTGGGGGGAGGACTTCAGCCCGAAAGCTCCCCTCGTAAATCCGCTGTGCTGGCAATGGAAGAAGTAATTTAACAATTAAATGGTAAAGACTCCCCTAATAAAGAATTATCAATTGTTCTGGAATTAAAGAGATGGATTGGTTGAAGGGTTAGGGTCATTCTTATATTATTTCACCATTTAGCATTTTTGGATCTAATTCTAGCAATTCGGATTAAAAAAAAATGATCGCCTAATTGAAGAAAAATGTGTCTTAAATATGACGAAAGATGTCCTAGATAATAAATTACTGATATAAACAAATTTCAGACAGATATGAACCTTAAGCCTAAATAAATGCCCTTAAATTACTTACTTTGCAATTATCATCCAAAATGTTAATTGAACAGTGTTAATAAAATAATGGTAACATTCATTACCCATATGTTTTATAATATAGCATGTTTTGGAAGAAAAACTGTCAGTTCTTTTATTCCTCAAGATTACATATGGACTGGTCGCTGGTTTGTTTTACTCTTTTCCATCGTGTTAAATGAACAGTGTGGTAAGAAAAGTCTGTAACATTTGTTACGACGTTTTTTTTTTCCAAATTTTGGGGACAAAGCTATTTTCCTATTATACAACAAAAGTATTTGCGATAACTTAAAAAGGTATCTATAATTCGAAATTCCATCATATAACAGTCAGAATTCCTATGGTTAAAAATTAATCGATACAGACTGATTCATATCATGGAGCATGGAACATGGAGAATTTCGCATCCTCTCCTTGGGGACAGTAATATTCGTCACGTTTTTTTACATTCACATAGTGATATTTCATCTTGTGGTTGTAATAAATTTATTTTAATGTCACCATTCCATTCCTTAGAAACAACACAAAAAATTAATGCCATTACTACTTGATTAAATGTGACAAACAAATGTAAAGCCAGGGAACATCAAATAGCCAAATAATATAAGAATGCCTCAATAATAGTTGGAGAGATTTATGTAAATTATGAATAGGCAATGAAATTTGTAGCTGGGAGTGAGTGACTATATTTTTTTATGCGTAAAACATTTTGTTTATTGTATTACGGGGAATTATACCTTAAGAAAATGAAATTCATTTAGCTATGTAGATATGTGTATATATTCATGGGTAAATATCAATTATTGTCAATGAAGGCAACTGACTCTGGCTCGCGGTCACGTGACCAATGCTCCAATGTTTTTTATATTAGCTTTAATAGATTAAATTTGTCATTTATGTTAATAAAATGTTATTATTATATTAAAATATGGACGTTGTGAATTCTTAATTGGAAACTACAAGAATAACAATTAATTTACAGTATTTTTTGACCACACAAAATTATTTGTCATATAACACGCATTAATTGTCTTACTTGTATCTTTGTCAAGCCCTTACAGCTATTTATATTGCCTTATATTTTACATATTTAAATGGAAACCAAATTTAATAGTCACTTAGAAATTTTAATTATGTTATTTTGCGTATGAAATTATATTCAACAATATTCTTACAAAAAATATATACAGATTACATTTTAATAAAAAAGCCTTATGATACCATTCCAGCTGAATTATTCTTTTAATAGAAATTTGTAAAAGAAGTAAGATTTATTCGTTTTGAAGGCAGGCCAGAGGCTTTAGCGCCAGTAACGTGGTTGAGAGCGTACCGCAGGGATCTTCTTGCTTTTCCCTCTATAGTTAAAGGGACAAGCCTGGCTAAGGGTTCCCTTGCTTGATTGTAAATAGGGTATATAGATATATTCAGATTTGTTTTAAAATTATTAATTATATATATATATATATATATATATATATATATATATATATATATATATATATATATATATATATATATATATATATAGTATGAATGTAATCTTACCTCACCATAATCATTGTCCATGAAACGAATTGTTATATTATTCAATAAAATAAAAATTAAAATAAAATATAAATTTGTAACCGTTTTAGATTCAATGAAAACCAAACAAACCAATAATATTCAAGAGAATTGAGCGGCAAATAAATTGTAGCCAGTTAACTGCTTGTGTCTAGCGTTAAATAATTCAACGTTTGTTGAACTGATAGACTGGTGGACACTAAACGAGCGATTATATTGTAATACATGTGCGATTATATTTCTCTCGTTTTTTTTTTTGTTATATTCCATTTAGATTTATTTTCTATTAAATTTAAATTTATTAATATTAATAACTTAGCCGATGACCAGGCAATCTCAAACGTTGATATTTTATCATGTGGTTAATACTTTATAATAAAATTAAATAATTCGTAAGAAAATTAAAATTAGTTTGATTTAAAACGTAGATATCACCTAGTGGCGTAGTGGTACAGTCATTTGAAATGTTATGCCTGATAAAAAAATATATATTTTTTTTTAACATATCTCATTTTAGATATGTTTTCTAATATGGCTGGGAAGTTAGTTGAGGGTTGCAACCAGTAAGAAAAACAAATATTAAAAAAAAATATTTTATTTTGTGCTGACGTTTCGGCATTACTTTTAGGCCATCGTCAGGGCTCCTTCACCTGAATATTTAAATAGAATCAAATTTATTTCTAATGGTATAGAGACAAATTAGTTATTAATATTAGGGCTATGTATACGATTTTTAATTACTTAAATAATTTCAAACAACTTTGTACCTACGGTTTTTAATTGTTTTTTCATTGAAACTACAAGGCACATTAGGGAACCAAAAACATTCTCCAATAAAAATAAAGACTTTCATTAAAAACTTCAAAACTTGATGTACTCCTTGCTTAGTTATATGTGAAGTTTGGTAAATTAAAATTAATCTGGTGATGTTGGAAATTGTAACTTACTTGTGGCAGTTGTTTAGTTTTTTAAAGTTTCGGGAAATGATTCCCCTTCATTAGAAATATTCGCTATTGTTCCTTGTGACTGTTGTATATTTTTTTATTAATTAGATTTGTTTTAAATTTCGGGAAATGATTCCCCTTCATTAGAAACATATTCGCTATTGTTCCTTGTGACTGTTGTGTATTTTTTTATTGATCAGTTTTGTTTTAAATTTTGAGAATTGATTTCCCAACATTAGATACATATTCGCTATTGTTCCTTGTGACTGTTGTGTATTTTTTTATTGATCAGTTTTGTTTTAAATTTCGAGAATTGATTTCCCAACATTAGATACATATTTATTATTGTTGGATTTTTTAATATTTATTTTAGTTTCCATTTATTATTTTACAAAACTCATTTTGTAACATTTTTTGGTTGAATGTGAGACAAAACCTTAGTGAATACGTTTCTGATGATGGGAAATCATTTTCCAAAACATTAAAGAAATTTCAAACTAATAATTGTCAACTTCATTTGTATAGCAAAAAACTCGCTAGTAAAAGAAATAACAAGAATTAAAGTATCAAATGTCCAATTAATTTAAGCAATATGTTTCTATATTATATAAATATTGGATACATTTAAAAATAACTGATCTATTAAAATATATAGAATTAATAAGAAATGTTCAAAGAAATGATGATATTGATCACCAAATGCCAAACAATATAACTTCAGTAAAAAATTGAAAACGTTGGGGGGACCTAAGCGTGTTGATAAGAGCCTATCTGAAAGGAAGCACCGTTCATTTCACATGATAACACTTACTTTTCTCCCCATTGCAATATCACCTCTTACAAATATTGTATTTTATATATTTTAATAAACCTTAATCAAAATTAAATAAATTATTATGGCAGTATTAGTGTAAGAGCATGACATATGTTGGATACAATACATGGGTCTTGTCGTCTCCTGTAGCCTGTATGGTGTATGTGCAATGCTTATGGTTGGGTACAAGAAGTTATCGCTGATGGTATTATGTATTTATTTTATATTAAATATAGTTTTGGTTAAGTGTCGTTACGTAAGGCGGAAGATACGAGCCCGGCGGAGCTGATGTCACGACACACTAAGGAGGATATAGCAAATAGGTGAATACTCACTGGAATAGAGGAGGCACTGGCCGGGGATGACGAGAACGGATATGAGGCAGAAGAATATCATTCTCAGCTCCTGTGGCAGCTGGCTCAGTACATCTTGTCGTCCGGCCTCACCAACTTCACTAGAATCAATACCAAAAGGGACCGCTCTGGCCGCCAGCAGCGCCACCTCTCCGCATTCATACCCTCCATTCACCTTTACCTCCCTCTCCCACTCAATTTATTATTTATTCCTCCACATCCCCAAGGGGAATAATGGGGATTCTGGAAGAAAACATCGTCCAGCAAATATGATCCAATAGAACAACGTCATCAATAATTAAAAAGTTGCAAAATTAAAACATATCGGCTATCCACCGTGGGTGATCTGAGTTCTTAACGACCCTCGATTTCCTATGGAATAAGAAGAATTAAAAACGTATTTATTTATTCTGGGACTAGCGGCTCTTTAGAATTAGTTGCAAGAGAGACTTTCGGCCGTAATCAAGTAACATAAATATTTGAGCATTTTTAGTCTGATTTTCTCGAGAAAAAAAAATAATAGATTATTGCACTACATCGAAGTTCACAGAGGGTGTGGGTGTGCATTTTGAATCCCTTTTATAATCATTATATGGTTTCCGAGGTTGTCTGTTATATTATTTATACATAAACAAAATATATATAATGTACATAAATAAATTCTAAATTCAATTACATTTCCTAGGGTAAGCATTAATAAAACAACAAAATTATTTATCATCTTTACCAAACGAAAATAAGAAGATAATACAACCTTAATGATGGAGCTTAGTTGCTCGCACATTTTTTTATTTTATTTTACTGATTTAAGTCCACTGTAAGAGAATAATGTTATAATAGTAATTTTAGTAGAATAAATACATCCACTTTTTGTTAATAATTTTACGCTCAATGGAGTACGGTGTATTGATAAAGTAATTATCAGTGCTATAATGTTATTGGATTTTTAGTTGTATTTTTTTTCGAAAATAGCCGATTTCTGCATTGTATTGTATCGGAGGGTGTAGGGATGCACTTCGTATCCGTTATATAATCCATGGAGTACAATTACTAAAAATTTTTAGTAAATGTTGATATATCTATATATAAATGAAATATATATATGATTTTCTCCCTATTTCCACGTTACATTTCTCCAGGCCTCATTTAGACCAAATGGACTTAAATTCGGTACGTAGGATTTTGTATATGCCGAAAGTACCATTAAGGTTTAGGAAAAGTCCCTCTATATTAAGATTTCTCACATTTTTTCATTTTGTTTTCAACAGCTTTTGGATTTTTTGTACCTCTACACACCCTTGAAATAAAATTAGAGGGTTGAAATTTTATAAATGAATTAAGTTAGTGTTAGAAAAGAGCCTTTTGAGAGACTCAAATTTTTTTCTCAAACCTCGCATTTTTCTATTGTTTTTACACTGTGAAGTGTACATAAGTTTAAATTAAAATGAAGGGTTATAAATTCTTATATTATGAATTGAATCGAATTAATAAATGCCTTTAATTGTTATCATTTTTTTATTCGCATGCCATGAGCTTTTTTTAGAGTTCTTCGCATTTTAGGAAAGTGCCTCTAATGATAATCTAACTGATTTTGAATATTGAATATTTTTATGCGAATTGAGTTGATAATGGAGATATTCCCATAGTGGGTCTTAACTGTGTGTCAAACATAGAGGTGCTTTTACAGGAGTTTTTTTGGGTCTCAATATTTTTCTTTTATCCTCGCCTTTTCGACAAATCGAATTCAAAAACAAAATATTAGGAAGAAACTAAATGTATCTAGTCCTAATATATACATTTTCATAAATATAATTGAAGCAGTCGACAGGTTTTTTTAATTTAGACGTAAATGTTAGGACTAGAAACATTTAATTGGTCACCTATGAATACAAATCAATTTCTATAATAGATATTTGGGTATGGAATACAGTTTCATTATCACTTTAGATGATAAATATTGGAAAAATTATTATTTTTAACATTTTTGTTTTGTAAATAAAAAGTTTATTTATGCTTTTATGTTTATTATAATACATAATAATAATAAACTAATAAAAATAAAATACTAGTAAATTGATGTTAATTGCAGATCAAATTATCAACCATTAGATTGATCAACCATCAACAGGTATCTATAATCGTCAGCATCGGAAAGTACCTATTATTATAAAAATAAAAGTAAAATTCTAAATTTGGATCCGTATGATTTATCTTAAAATGATTTTTAAACATCTTGTTCATGAATTTGTATATTTTATTTTTATTGAATAATAATACAATCAGCCACTGTTGGAGGGCTATAAGTATTAAGGCTAAAAGTTCTCATTCATACAGTATATACAAGTAATACAGAAGTAACTATAAATATAAAAGTAAATAAATAATACTTATAAAAAAAAATGTAAATCAATAGAAAAAAAAATAAAATAAAATAAAAAAATAAATAAACAAAATAAAATAAAAAAAACTTCTAAACACATTCATACCTATATACATTCGCCCAGGAATCTCCGAGCCAGCCTTTTCTCCCCACATGTAGAAAGCAAAGCAGGACTCCAGAGATCCCAGTGCCACTTTTCCAGCCGCATCACTAGTATTAAAAGCCAGTGGAGGCTGAAGGAGGGCACTAGAGCCACAGATGCTCAGGACTTGAGTGGAGAAGCTGGCCATTGCCAGGACTCCAGAAGCATATTTACAATAGATCTCGCGGCCACTGCCGTTTTAACCTTCGAGGGGGATTGTAGGGATGTTGGGAGCTGGATAGGGATTGAGCTAGAGGATTTGGATGATGGATAAGGTTCTGGTGAAAGTTTGAGAATCTGGATGGGATGATGTCGAGGACAAAAGGGATGTTAAGGTCATGGTGTAGGGTCTTATTTGTGACATAATATGGGGCATTGGCTATTGTTCTAAGTACTTTGGACTGGAAGGATTGGATGCGTTTGATATTCGAATGTTTAGCAGTTCCCCACAGTTCAAGTCCGTAGGTCCAGATAGGTTTCAGTATTGTCTTGTAGATTAAAAGTTTATTTTCAATCGAAAGATGAGATGTCCTGCTTAGTAGTCTATATAGCTGGCCATATCGTTGGTTAAGTTCTTGTCTTTTAAGTCTCGTATGTGGGTTCCAAGTTAGTCTTTTGTCTAGAAGGAAGCCAAGGTAACGGACTGTATCTGAGTAGGGAAGTGGTATTGAATTGAAAAGGATTGTGGGACAGGATCTGCGTCGCAGAGTGAAAGTAATATGTTTACATTTTGCTTCATTGATTTTAATGCGCCAGTCGTTGCACCACTGCTCAATCAAGGAGAGGTGAGATTGTAGGTTTTGAGATGCTATTTGAGGATCTGAGTGGGAGGATAGAATGGCAGTATCATCGGCAAATGTAGCTAGGAAGGTATCGGGATTTGGAGGGATATCGGCAGTGAAAAGGATGTAGAGAACTGGACCCAAAACACTGCCTTGTGGAACACCAGCCTCAACTGGATAGTAAGTGGAGAATTCGGTGCCGCAACGGACTTGGAAGGAACGATTTGAGAGATAGGATTTGAGGACTAGGTATAAGGATTGGGGTAAATGGGTTTTGAGCTTGAAAAGCAAGCCATCGTGCCACACCCGGTCGAAAGCTTGCGCTACGTCCAGAAAGGCACCAGTGCAATATTGCTTGTTTTCAAGTGCAGAGGATATATGGTCCACAACACGAAGGCCTTGTTGGACAGTGGAATGTCTTGAGCGGAATCCAAATTGATGAGAAGGGATGTTGTGGGATTCGAGTATGGGTAGGATGCGTTTGAGGAGGATTTTTTCAAAGATTTTTGAGAGGATAGGGAGTAAACTTATCGGTCTGTAGGATGATGTGTTATTAACGGGTTTGCCTGGTTTTGGAAACAGCACGATTATGGAGTGTTTCCACATCAAGGGAAAGTTGGTAGTACGAAGGATGCAATTATATAGATAGGTCAGGAATATAATTGATTTTTTGGGAAGTTGTCTAAGGATTTGTGAAGTGAGGAGATCATATCCAGGGGATTTTCGGGGTTTTAATTTGTTTATGAGGAATTTGACCTCAGAGGGGTTAACAGGTTTTGGAGGTAGAGAGAGAGGAATTGGTGAAGAGAGGAATTCTTTAACTTCAGCAGTGTGGGTGGGATGGAGTTCGGGATGGGGAGTGAATGTGTAGGATAGATGTTTAGCAAACTCTTCAGCTCTATTCGCATCTGACGAAGCCCAGGAACCATCATCACGGCGGAGGGGGTGGGAAATGGATTGGACTTTAAGGATTTTTTTAGTTACAGTCCAGAGGGAGTTATCACTAGATGTTAATGAGGAAAGGTAGGAATTGTAGGATTGGGTTCTAAAGATATCCAGTTTCTTTTTTACCTGTTTGGAATAATAGTTATACGATTTCCGGTCATCAGGATGCCTGGTTCTTTGCCAGAGGGCCCTAGAGCATCGTTTGCTATGGATAAGGTCCAATAGGTCTTGGGGTAGAGGATTTATACTGAGGTGTTTTTTGGGACGATCAGGTGAGGATGCAGTCCAAACTGCTTGCTGGATCAGCTTAGTAAAGGAGTCCACTGCATCGTCAAGGTCTTCAGGTGTTTTTAAGGAAACTCTGAGGTCTATATTATCATCCAATATTTGACGGAAAAGGTTCCAGTTAACTGGTCCCCTGATAAATGAAGGAGAGGATGATTTAGGAATGGGTGATGTGGAAGCGGTTAGGACTATAGGACTGTGGTCTGAGGAAAGATCATCAAGCCTTGAAATGGAACAGTGTAATGATCCTAGACCTTTGTGTAGGAAAAAGTCTAGAAGGTCGGGATTGCGGTTGGGATCTGTTGGCCAGTATGTGGGAGTATTAGGTGAAAGGATGTTGCTGCGATGGGAATTAAGTGCAGATAGCAGTGTTCGCCCTCGGGAATTTGTGGATCTGGCTCCCCATTGTTGGTGTTTTGCATTTAAATCTGCACCTAGGATGAAATGGTGTCCTAAGGAATTCAGGAAGGAAATTATTTGGGATTCGGAAATGGGTATTTTAGGCGGGGAATATGCCGCAACTAATGTTATTGGGTAAAGGGAAGTTTGGATTAT